GGGCCGCGGGGCTCCGGGAGACGGTGGTTACTCGGCGCTGGCTCGTTCTCTCCCTCCCTCTGGCCTTTGCTGCTGAGGAGACTAGTTGGTTTGCAGCACATGCTTCTGCGTGCACAAATTGTTCGTCTGATGGGGTTTTTTTTGCTGTTTGTAAGCAACCTGCTCAATTTGCTATTAGAAGACTGACAAAATTTTTCGCACTAAGCTTTTCTTGGAGATATAAGTGAAGATTTTTATTTCATTTTATTTTTAATATAGGAGTTGCTCAGGGTGATGAGAACGATCGATGACAGAATCGTCCACGAATTGAACACTACGATTCCAACAGCTTCCTTTGTGGGGAAAATTGATGCCAGCCAGACGTGTAAAGAGCTGTACCAGTCTGTGAGTGTGCGCTCCTTCGACTTTCAGCTCACTTCCTGATGTTTTATTACGTGCAGCGGCCAGTAGAGCATTCTCAGTTTCTAAGGAAGCCACTGCCTTCATATATCATGCTTTACGTATCTGTAACTGGCATGCTTGACATTTCTACGCAGCTAAACCACGTGCATGTACTTTGGTTTAAAACCACACGGGGAACTTATTTCTTCCGCAATACCGATCCTTCGAGGTGTACTTCAGGCTTCAGTGAATGGCGTTAGCCCAGTCCGCTTCTTTTAAAAATGGGTGCTAGCACACTTTTGCACTACTTTGCAGGACTCCTGCTCGTGTGTGTCTTTGACTTTTGATCAAGTTGGTAGCTGCTGCTCAAAGCAGTGTTGCTTCCAACATGTGGATTATAGAGTCAAAGGGATTTCTGTAGGCACAGCAATACCTTGACTTCGGAAAGTCTTTCTTAAAGTTGTAACTCGGAGGCTTTTATTCTCTTCTGAATTAGTTGTTGTGACTTTCTTTCTCTCCCCACTTAGTTGATGGATGCTCACACCAGCAGGGAGAGAATCATCAAAAACTGCATCGCTCAGACTTCCAGTGTAGTGAAAACTCTCAGAGAAGAGAGGGAAAAGGCCCAGGATGACGTAGCATTATTAAAGCAACTCAGGAAAGAGCAGACAAAGGTGAGTGGTGGAGCTTTTTAGAGATCGCTTAGAGAGGAAGAAGACGGTATGTTGCCCAAATGGAAAGACCAGTGTGATGGAGAGAACCTGAAGTGGATCCTGACTCAGACAGTCTTTTCCAAGGTTCTTGTTGGCTGGATTTGTGAGAACCATTTCCCCTAGCCCACAAGACAGAGCTGCTTTTATCCTGCAAGTGGAGCATTCTCTGAGATCCCATTGCACAAATGCTGTAGAAAAACATGTACTTCCCCACGGTGGACTCTAACCTTCACTGACTAACGCCACTTAGTGTACAACTACCTGTGGCTTGCTTAGTCCTTTCAAAATGCCTGAAGGTTCGTTTTGCCTTTTTGAGATCTTGTAAAACTAGTATATCTGCAAACGGCAAGTATGGGTGCCAAGATGCAAACACCAGAAGATAATGAAATATGGCTTTTCTGTATGTCTCTTGAACCACACAGTTACTCGGCTTTAAAGCTGTCCCTTTTCATCATCACCCTGAGAAGCATTGTTCTTACTCAGTGTGTTAACTGGAGTTCCTGTCCTCTACAAGGAGCTGCCAGGCAACCTTGAATTCCACTTAAGCAACTTTTTTGTTGTTTAGTATTTCTTGGATTAATTTTTTTAATACCTTGTGATGGTGTGAGAGAGACTTCTGGGTTTGCATAAGGAATTTTAATGAGCAAACGCCCTCTCAACCTTCTGGCCTCTGGATGGAAAGTGTACTTTGCCAGAGGTGAACAAAGGTGATCTAGATAGAGTATCGGAAGTGGAGAAGGGAACACCACTGAAGTTCTTGTCCCCACTCCAGGGCCTCCTTTGTCGGGGAAAGGATACTGCATGTGTAGCTGTAGGAGTGGAGATTAGCAGCGATGTGAACTGTTCCATTGATTTCTCTTCCAGACCTGCTCTGCGTGGCTCGTAATCACTTTACATTTTTTTTCCACACCATATTCTTGCAGCACATACCAAATAAGACTGCTTGCTTATTGCTTTTTTTGCATACACTGGTGAGGTGTGTCTGTTGTGTTCAGCAGTTTAGTGAGCCTTCCTCTGTTGAGGACTGTCTTAACCAGTGCTTTTGAGTTCCCAGTGTAACGGTGAGTTCTTCTCATAACAGCCAGGCGTACCACCATCATATATATATATATATATATGGTGTCCTATGTAGGGTCCTATATCCTGGGTACAGCTTTCCCTGCTGCAGTACTGTAAGACTTGAAGAGATCGGTCCTGAATTTTGCTTTTGCAGTGCTGAACTTCCTCAAAATCCACTTGCCCTTGTACTTCCGAGAGGAGCATATGTAGTCCCTGTTTCAAAGAGCAGTTGAATGCTGATGCAGTTGTAGTTAAAGGGCTTCCTGAGGAGATGATTTGAACTCAAGCGTCTGATTTTTCCCAGGCATTGAGTGAGTGAACTGATTGTTCATGTGCTCTTCAGAGAAGTGCTCTGTCGTGAGCTCAGATTTAAAGAACCAGGTGGCAGGCGAGTGGTTTTATTCTTAAAGCCTCACTTACGCAACTGCTAACAAGCAGTTTAGGAAACTAGAATGGTAGCTTAGTATTTTCTACAAATCTTGTTTGCAGAGCCAATTCTTTAAATTGTTTACTTACTGAGCCCAAAACCTATCACTCACTAGGAGGATCACAATGATAATGTTTAATAATTGGCGGTGATTTCAAATGTTAAAAGCAATCCATGATTTGGAAACATCCCAGAAATCTTTTAATGAGATGACCTCAAATTTGCACTTGGACTTTATGAGGTGTCGTCCCCCCGCTTTTTTTTGTCGTCTGTGAGAGTTGTGTTTTTTCTAGAACTCAGATAACCTATATTGAGAGAACACATCCTACGTTTAAGATTATGCATTTCAAATATATATTCACTTGGGTTTCTGTTTTCTCTTGTTATTTGTGTTTCTCTCATCCTGCTAATGGTACAAATTGGAGGACTTTATCCAAAATTATTACTTCTGGGTCATTGAGTAAGACAACTTGGAGTAGTGTCAGTCTAGCAGCTAATTCTTTTAGTCTGCTTACATTAAAACATCATTTGATTATTGTATTCATTTGTTATAGTCTTAGTTTACTTGAATGAAGTGTCATAAAATATCCAACCAAATAAATTCTGGAAGTCCAAAACATACAGCATAATGATTATTAGCTTTATCAATCGAATTCGTAAAGCTTGTTAAAATGTCAGAGTATGTTTTAAAAACAACAACAACAACAAAAAACCCTGTATAGCCATGTTGATTAACGCTATATTGCTGTTCAGGTCTGCAACTGTAAGGAAAAGGCTAAAATAGTAATTTTGCTTAGGCTTGGTGTCAACGGCAATTAATGTGACAGTCCAGATGATTGTAAACCTATTCACATCCTCCAGCAGGAAAAACGTTTCTTTGAACTGCTAAAGATCTTCTGAGTGGTTATTTTGTAGAGACTAATCCTGGTCATCTAGTCACCCTGTTGATGCTGGATTGTTATTTCAAACAGTTTGGGGTCCTACTGAGTAGGTAAAAGTTCAACAACTATTAGCTCTGTGTGTCTGGACATCTTACTTGGAAGGTTTTTGATGGGATTGCTGTATGAGGTTGCACCTGTTCACCAGGTCTCCAATTGGAACCACGTATTTAAAATGGATAAACTCTGATCCTTAGTCTGTTGTGTTAAAGACTCCAACAAAAATACATCCTAAATGTAGGCAAAAATGGCAGATGGTTCTTATATCTCCTACTATTGCTTCAGGGCCTCATGGCAGGGTCAAATTACCACAGGTCACCTGAAAACAACTGTCACACGTGCCCCTTGGAGTTTCTGATAGGTGAGAAACAGATTCTTACATTTCTCGTGGGTTGAGTGAGCGCTCAAGAACTGCATATTGTGGTAGTTCTTGCCAGAGCTTTTGCATCCATGTAAACCCGATTTGTCCTACTGTGATCGCATAACATATTAACTGGTTCAGATAGCATGAACATACGTGATCTGTTCTTGCAGACCCTTTTTTTTGGTCAGTGCACAGAGTAGACAGCAAAGGAAGTGGAGGGGAACACTTTATGATCTTAATTCTAAATCCAGAATCTGTGTGTTCAGTCCTATCTTTGCTGCCAGCTCCCTGTATGACTCTAATAATGTATGTATGTGTGGAAGAATGACAACTCAAGGCTGCAGAGCTAACCCTGGCACTGGCATTCCCCGTGCTGAATGCTTGAATTAGGCATAGGTTTTTTTGTCTGTGAAGCCATTAACGTTAATCAGTTAATTGCTAACAAATCTTGATGGGCAGTATTTAAGAATGGAGCATTAGTAATCAGGAGCTACTTCTGCCAGCCTTGCATTGCGAGTCTGCCTTCACCCTGCCCCTGCAGACTTCAGTCTGCCCCTGGCTGAATGGAAGGGCCAGACTTTCAGGACGATTATGCATTGTGCCCTTCAGTTTGCACCGTCGGAGGGGATGTGCACCTGGTACTGGGGTTGTGATCCAGAAAGTTGCAATGGTAGTATATACTGAAGGCTGCAGGGAGGCCTGTTTGACAATAATCTCTTTATCTGTTACTTTCCGCAGTTGAAATTGATGCAGTCGGAGCTGAATGTTGAAGAAGTGGTAAACGACAGAAGCTGGAAGGTACTCAGTCATTTAAAATAGTGATGATGTTCTGTCCCAATAGACAGTCCTGCACTGGAGGTGTGGGACAGGTGCCTTGTGAGGCAGGTTAATTAGAAATAGGTGAGGGCAGTGCTGGGGGAAATGTTTCAGGTCAGTCATTTTCCCAGTTCTGGATGCAGAAATCAAATATTTTAAGTTGTGCTGCAAAGGAAAGATTTAGGCGGGGAGGAAGGACTGTGGAGTACTGCCTGTGTAGATCCCTTTCTCCACCTTGCCCAGTAGCTGAGGACTTTGTAGACTTTTCCGTGATGGCCTGTCTGAAAAGCTTTGCTGGGCCTCTAACAATGTCGGAGGAATGAGTCTTTCAAATTTGGCTGTTTGGTACTGATCATGCTTCTGAGCAAGTAGAGGCCAGAGGAGGGTGGGGCTGTAGAAGTTGTACCTTTTCCTGATGGAGCTTCTGCAGGCCTGGACTGATGCTCCCTGGTGCAAAGGGCAGGCTTGCCATTGCTCTCCTGTGCAAACAAAGGAGGCAGATCACCCTCTGGATCGACGGCCCCAAGCACTGTCTTGTTATAAAGTGATCTTAACATTGAGCTTAAATTCTGAGGTGGCTGTATTCTGTCACTGCAGCATTTCACATCTAGCATCCTTTTCTCATTTGTTGTAGCTTTTCAGAACTTTCAATACTGTGCAGAGAGCCTCTTGCCCTCTCTAAATGCAAAAAGGATTTTTGCAAATAGCTAGTATTAGCTGCAGCTCCCTTTTTAAACTCTACTTCAGGATTTTAGTCCTCTAGATTGCATCAGCATAAATGCAATACAGCTTGTATATTCTTGGAGGTCTAGTCACCGCAATACAGCTCAATGCAGGCTGGTTAGATGAGCATCTACATGTTGTTCCAGGTATGCTTTGCTGTCAATACTGCCTCTGTACTGTCTGAAAAAGCTAATCACGCCCTTAAGTTTAATTAATTTAAAGCCAGCTCAGATATGACTAAGCAGCACCACAGCTTTAACAACATGCTGCAGGCCACCAGTGGCAAACATTTTATGGCAACTCTGCTGTCAGTTTTATTAAAAAGGGGTGGGGGGGAAGACCTGTCCCACACTAGCTCCATTCTGAAGGCCACAGTTGGCACCAAAGTTAGCACTGATGCCAGTGATTTCCTGTAGATGCATTAAGCTTTTGCTAGTGACAGAAATGTCCAATTTTTCCTGAAGATGGAGAACATTTCCTTTATAAATAGTGCATACCTATGCATGGTGCAGGGATGTCTTAGCCTGCTAGTGTTTAAAGTAGGGCTTGAAGAGAAAAGTATTTCTGGGTTTTATCTCCAGCTGTGCTATTGTCTCCATCTGAATATAGGCATAAATGTCTCATTTAGCTGCCTGTAAAATATTTCACTGAAGGGATTAGACCCAGTCATAGTTGTGGACCGAAAGCCATTTGTTACATGGAAATGGTTATTGGTTTGCAGATGAGGACCTCCACTCTTTTTTACTGTTGCAGACTTTTAGTTGGAAAGTACACTTACGTATTTACATTAATCCTAACCAACTGAAAACTGATTGGAAAAATCTGATTAGGAAACAGTTATTTTCAAACATTTACTCTGGGTAGCTGTAGCAATAGCGGCATACAGAAAGATGCTGCTTTATAGAAATGCATGTGGCGGAATTTTGTTTGGCTGATACCAGACAAGGAATTGACTTTCAAAACAAGACACTTGCATTAGTCTCCATACAGCACCTCCACGCTGGAGTTTATTGTTGGAGTGTTTTGTATTAATATGTAAAAGACGGCAAAATCAAACTCCTGCGTAGTAATGTGAATGTTAAGGTTTCTCAGGCACTGTTTTTCCTGTCTGAAAAATGAGAATAGCACTTCACAGGTAGGCCAGTGGCATTAGCTGGCCTGAGTAACGCAGTGAGGTCTGTGTGTCAATGATCCTAAAAGTAGGAGGCAGTGTTAGTAAGATTGCCGTATTGATCTTCCTTCGGTAGGCTGCAGAGTTACTGTTAAAGATGCTTTAAAAGTTTGCATGATAGCAAGCTGGAAGCTGCAATTTTTTTGATGTGGTGTTTGATGCAAGAGACCCTTATAGTGGTTTAGAGTGTATTTCCAGTACTCTTTAAGACATATATGCCCTTAAAATATCTTTGACAGATAATGGACAAAAATGGTGCAATTTTCTTAGTATTAAAATGCTTCTGAATGGGAATCCTTTGTGGCTCTTAATTTCTACAGTTTCCTTCTATCACTTATCTGATCTCAGACCTTTACGTAGTCTTATCTCTTCCAGAGGTGTCCATTGCATGTAGTAATGTAGTGGGACAGACTGACTGTGTGTGTGTGAAAGAAACTGTATCACAACTTTTGTTTTCTGCAATATGAAGCATTTTCTAATATATGTCTGTTTCTTAAATTAAATCTGAAAATAAGTTGAAAATTACTCAAAAATTGTTAAGAATCAATGCTAAAACTAATGCATGCTGCAAAATTCACTTGTGCTGAAGTTGCCTTAGGTTCTGAACTCTGAATAAGGAGATCAGCTGTAGAAGTAGAAGATTCTAGGAAGATACAGTTTAAAATAATGTATTTATATAATGTGATGCATACAAGACCACTCATTTTGCATGTGAAGCCAATGGGAATGTTCACGAAACTTGACATCCTGAAGATCACAGGTGTTTGGATCTGAAAAGTCTCTGGACAGCTTGGCAAAATGTGCTCTTGCAGGAGTGCTGGTGGGGGAACTAATAACAGCCAGTGCCTCAACTTGGTGCTAGGTGGTGCTCGTGTTGCTTTTCAGGACATGCGCTGGACAAAGTTTGGAGCCAAAATGATGAATAGCTTAATCGCTTGTAAAGAGCACTTGTAACTTTGGTGTGAGCCTATGTGTTGTGCTTTTGATTGAGACTGCCTTACTTTAAATAGTCACATTTATTGGCCCTCCTTAGGGTAAGCCGTCTGCTTGACAAGGCCTGCAGTTCAAGCTAAATGAACATGATCTTCAGTCTCTAGTTCTGTGTGCTAAATTTTACCCAGAGAAGGTGCCAGAGGTGAGTGAGGCGAGAGCAGTGTGCCCTTTGCAATAGGAGGGCTGGCAGCATCAGCACCTGCGGTCAGATAACTAAAACTGTGAACGTGGCTTCCAAGAACCCTTGCACCTCTTTTTAGCTGTCACAACAATGTAAAATGCATTTGCTCAGGAAAGAGAAGAATACAGTGTCCAAATTTGAATGCCAGATAGAAGTTAACAGAACACAGCTGGTCAGGAGCCTTCCACTGATCATTTCCCTCTTTCTTTAAACAAAACAAAACAAAACAAAAAAAAAAAGGCATCATCATCTTTGAGGATAACAGACTACCAGGATTATAAGCCTGCCTTATCTGAGGGAGAACACTTTTAGTGCTGGGCAGTCCTCCAGCGTCAGGCTGCAAACTTTGGATTCACTAAAGCCAGGAGAGAAGGTGAATGGAGACAGATGCCTTGGTAAGTACCATTTATTGGTACAGCAGGGCTGGGCAGCTTGAGATGGGTGCTACATGAAGAGGTAGTTGTCTGAACTAGCTCTGAAGTTCTCATCATCTCCTGGATGAGGGCTGATTTGCTTTTGCTCTTCTGTTTTGGTATCTCAGGTATTTAATGAGCGTTGTCGAATTCACTACAAGCCTCCGAAGAGTCAATGATGTGGGGTATTTTCCATCAAGGTGGTCCATAACCATGAGAGCCAAACTGGAAAGAGACCTTGGGTGAGCTGTATTGGGACCCTCCAGAACCAGTAGAACCCAGTCTTGTTTTGTTTTGGACCTACTTAGCTGAAATCTCAAGGTTGAAATGATTCTCCTGTAATTAAGAGAAAACAACTCATCTTTTGTACAAAATATGTGAACAAATGAGTTTTATAGTATTAAAATAATTTTCAAATGGAATGTGAAACTGGCATCTTTCTTGAACTTCTACAGCTTCAGCAGTCCTAGAGGGGAAGAAACAGTAAAAACCAGCTCTGACCAGGGAGGACAGGGCTCTCCCTGAACTGATGCTTGCCAAACTATCAGGGAACATGGTGTGTTTGTGTGAATAATCTACTAAAATCTGAAAGGAAATAAAAATTGCAGAATGATCAGCAAGCGTAGGTTCAGCTAAGAAGCTACCAGCATTGTTCTGAACTACTCAACAGCAGCATTGGTTCAGAGTTGCATGTGGATACAAGTTTGCCATTGTTCCCACAATGCTGACAGGCAGCATCTGTTGCATACTGTCCTTTGGTCTGTGTTACCAAGTCCGGGATTTTTCTCTTTAAATAGGGAACGTGGTATTGATTAAAACCACTTTGGGTTGGAGATGGAGATATATCTCATTCAGGAATGAGACAGTTAACTATACAGTGACCCTATTTTGTCCCTCCTTCTGAACCTTTAAAATTAATTCTATAGGTGAATTGCATTTGAACTGAGAAAATAGCTGTGCATACCTGATCCTGTTGATTCTGGCCATAGTGTTGTATTTAGAAAGCTTTAAATGCAACACACCTGCAGTAACACAGCATTTAAAAGTGGATAAATGTGAGGAAAGCAGAATTGCTGTAATTATACCTTTATTTTTTACTAACTCTAATTGTCTGACAGTCAAATGACAAGGTCTGCTTGATTGCCAGCTGTTTTTATTACTTAGTGATGTGTCTTTCAGAACCACTGAACTTGAACAGAGCCTTAAAAATACAGGCCCCATCTTGCAAACACTTTCAGTTACAGTATTGAAATGACTATATACTCTCATATCCTTAAAAGCTGTGCATGTATCAGGAGTGGGAAGTAAATGGAGGAATGTACCTATGTTGCTGCAAGCTGGCAAATATCTATGCAGCATAATCTGTTTTATAGTTGTTTGTCCAGTAGAGTCTCGAACTACTTGGTGGCCTTTATTTTTAGGCAGCAGAGTCATCTAGTCTCACTTTTTTTTGAGAATGAGGCAGAAATATATTTCAGGTCTTTGAGGATGTAAATCCTAATGTTCAAACTTCATTTTTTTTCCTTTTTTCCCAAGGTACTGCAACTGCTCTAAGCAGAACTTTACTCCAGTTGGAGCGCTCGTCTCACTCTTGAAGTATTCTCATTGTTTTTCTGCAACTCTGAAGGCAGAAAACATGTTTATTCTTCAACTGTTAAATTCTTATAATTGTTTATCTTCAAAGTGGAAATCAAATACTGCTCAGAACTGTGGGCTGAATTTCCCATAACCTAATTTCCACGGGAGATTGTCCACTAATGAGATGTTGAGTTAGTTTTTATTTCAAAGTTGGTACTCTAATACTGACCTCTAATATAGGTGTCTAAAATACTTGTTCTCTCCAGGGCTTGGATCTACAACTGCGGGGACAAATGCTCCTTTTAAGCCAGTTGTATGATAGAAACTTCTGCCAGCGTATATAGAGTTAGCATCAATACTCTTGAAATTTAAGCTTGTATTGTATTTCTGTAGAAACTAGAGATTGTAATGGGAATTAATCACTGTCCTCCTCTATCCATCCAGATGTTTGCTCAGCTGTTGTGGGAAAACTTCTTCACTTAAGCAGATGCTGTGAAAAATGACCTGTGATACGTATGCAGATTTTTTTTTTTGCAGTAGCCCAGCTTAGCATTTGTTATGATAAAACTATGTAAAAAAAAAAAAAAAACCCAACCCCAACATAGCACTATTTTTCATTCAAAAGTAAGGCCAAACAAGTAGATCTATACAAACCCGTATATGAAAAACTTCTGACACCATAAGAAGACTTCTAAGTCCCAAACATCCCTTCTTTAGGTGTATACAGGGGGTAGCACTAAGAAGTTGAATTAGTCTATTTAGTTTGCTCTGAGCACAGGGGGATATCTCTTACAGTACGTGGCAAATCACATGGATCAGACGCTGTTTGAATCTTGCTGTTGAACTTAGTGGAACATTAAGGTAAGTAACTGGAATTGCATGCCATGTTTTGGGTCACGGGGAAGGAGAAAAAGGCTTTGCTATTTTTTTTAGTACTTAATATCTGCTTGTGAAGTGGGATGTTTTGTGATGGTATGTAAATGGCATTGGTATGAGCTGTGGACCGTACTAAACAAAGGCAGGTAAAATCTCTGTGTCTAGTGACCCCTGTCCATTCTAGGATCATGCCTAGTCTGCGATTGAATCCTGCTTCAACTTTACCATGAAGGTCGTCACAAAATTACTGGGCTCCTTGATGTCATATGTGAATTTAATAGTGGACCCCACAAATACCAGGATTTCATCCTTTTCCTGGTTCTAACTTTATTTCTGCAAGTAAAGGCACTTGAACAAAAAGCGCAACTGATGCTCCTGCCCAGAGTCTAGATCTCCTGTGGGTGGCTTCCCCCTCTACTGGGGCTTTCCTACTGCTTGGAAATGGTGAATATAGGTGGGCAGATCCCGGTTCCTTGGGAAGCCCTCTCAAGCATGTGCTTCTTATTTCCTCCTGTGAAATAAAGAGGTGTTTTTTTCTGACTCATTGCTGTTGTCTTCTGCATCTTGTAGGCACTCAAGACTGATGAAATAGGTAACCTCTTTAAAGAAATTTTTTAAGGATAGAATTCGGTTGTCTTGAAGCAGACTGAGGGGAAGAGGCTCTTTACTGGTACCATAGGCTCAGCATAGGCAGGGATATGATAACTTTGTGCTGCTGAAGTTCAGGTTTCTATTAATCCTAGTTGATGTACAATGTCAGAAATCTTTTGAAATCAGGGTGGGTAGCAGGAGGGGAAACCACCTTTGCAGACCAGCACGTTGAAAGTCAAGGCTGTTGTTACTGTGACGAAGACAAGTAGATCCTCAATTGGTAGATGGAGGGCTGCTTTTCTTTGGCAGCTCTTAAAATTTGGTGCAGACCATGTGTCATTTCATCCACTCACGATTACGTGTCTCGTCACTGTGAAACCAGAAGACTGATCTACTGACTTAGCTTTCACAATCATTTCTACAGAGGTGGCTTAATTTCTGGTTTAAAAATAACTCATAAACACATAACCCTGGGGTTTGGTGAGGTTTTTTTTGTTTGGTTGAGTTTTTTTGTTACTGTACTGGTGTTTTTATTGACTATAGCTTCTACTTCTTAAAATTGCTTATACAGGACCAGAGAGTAGTGGCTTGCAAGCTGTAAAGATTTGTTTCTTCCTTATTGGAATAGTACATAGTGCAAGGTGTTACTCAGCTTTAAAACTATAAAGAATACTAGTGCTGTTCTCCCAGCACAGATTCTCCAAGATAACAGCAGTACAGTTATGTGAAGAGAAACTGCCATCAGTGCAAATGATGAGCGTAGGCTGGAATGGTATGTAGTATCAAACACATCTCCAGTACTAAAGTGGAGACACTCACTAGCTTGTTGATGTTGTGCAAGAGATGCAACGGGGACGGCTCTTCTTTTCAAGGCAATGTTCCAAATGCTGTTTCATTACATCCAAAGCTTAATAGAGGGAGGTGTAGATGAGATTTGCCTAGGATAGTCCATTGCCAGTGATCATCTTTGATAGCAGGTCTGTGAAACGTCAGCATTTCAAAGTGACTTCATGAACGATGTGTGCAGGATGAGTACTGCATCCCAAACTTAGAAGTATCACTGGATTTTGGGATAGCCATTAGCATTCCCAGCGAAAGAAAACAGACTGATTTGCCTGTGAAAACTTTAGCATCAGCTTGCTGACAGTTAGTGTTGATTTCCCTTCCCTTCTGCACAACTCTCTGTATTCTGGGGAGGAAAAAAAGTTTTTATGCATTAAAGTCAAAAACCAGCAAACCCAGTAATATGGAGTCCAATGAATGATTTCCACACAACATTAATGTCTTTAGTTTCACACCTAGAGTTTTCCCAAGATTATAAATTAACCCTCCTAGTCTTTGTGCTCAGTGTATTTCTTACTAATCAGAATCAAGGGTTCTCCAGAGGGGCAGTGCAGCCTTGGGGATCTTATCAACATCCCTTCCCAAGGGAGTTAGTGAGATCAGCATCCTGCTGGGTGGAGAAGTTTATAAAATGTCCTGGCTTAGCACTGGTACTGCATGGTTGCTGAGCACATTCTGTGGCTTCTGGCCTCAGTAAGGTGAGCTGGCTCTTCCAGTTAGTTAGCTTATCTGTGTGAAAAAGATGCATGGTAGCAACATGGTGAAAGATGATCAGCATTTGAGTGGATCAGCATTTGAGTGAATCAGCAAGGTCTTGTCCAAAAAAGGAGTTTGAGCTCATCAGCTTGAATTGTCATTAACTCCACGAATTGGGCTGTGAGGAACTCCTCATCTGGAGTGGTGAATTTGGAGAAAATGGAGACTTCCAGCTTTAACACCTCCCATTCCCTTTATTCCCAAGAACTGGGAACATTTTTCTCTTTGTTCAGAAAGGTGTTGTCTCAGGACAACTGTTTTTCCTTAAATGCCTTTCATCCGCTCCCATAACACTGCTGCTCAAGTTTGGGAAATTCTGCAACATCCTTATCGGTAACATGCTCTTACCTTGATCTATATACTGTTGAGTTTAGGGCCCTTACAGCCCAGTTTCTCATTCTCAGGTCCTTTGCCCCAAGAACAGGCTTTGAAGTTAGATACAAAGTACTTGTTTACAGTCTGTTGCATCACTTATCCTCTGTGAGGAGGGTCAATAGGCTGGTTAGGATACCGATGAGTCTATGTTACACAGTCACCATTGCTGTGGCCATGAACAGGCTTGTTTCTAGTGTATTCCTTAATGCCGATTCCAGCAGAAATGCCCACTGCGTGCAGCACATACTCTCATTTCACCCCCTCCCATGTACCCACCCCTAGGGAATAAAAATTGTCTGGTCTGTTGCTACTTCTCTGGTCCTAGCTCTGGAACAACATTCTTCCCATTTGCTGGAGAAGGGGATGGCAGGAATACCGAAGGGAAGTATTTTTTCTGTGATCTTGAAGCGTTAGCTCTCCCTTACCAGGTAGGGCTGCTGACTAGCCTTTCCTCAGTAGGTTGCACATGTTTTGAGCTTTGTACATTCATATATAGTCATGAATATGACTGTGTCATGTATCTGTGACTGTAACTGCAGAATGAATACTGCTGACTATATATTCTGCATGTTACATGCTTCAGCAGTGTGTGAAAGATAAGTATCTTGAAATTAGAACAGCTATTGTGCACACACAACTACTGTAGTGAGAGGGATTGTACTTTGTCTTCCAGGAAATTGTCACTAGAGTTTCAATAAAAATGTAAATGGTACTGCATATTCCGTTGTTGTTATGATTGCCTGAACGCAACTATAGGTTTCATAGGAAAGAAGCAGAAATAACTTATTTGCAGTACTTACCTGAACCTAGGATTTAATTTTTTCCCATTCTGGTTCTGGTGTTTACCTTGGCACCTTTCTGGTCAGGCAGAGGGAAGTAAAGTCACTGAAAGTCAAATGCAGTCTGCTTCTGTTTCCCACTTGGAAGGGTATTGAGACAATACAATTTCAAGTTGAATGGGACCTGCATCAAGGAAATTCTGTATGCTTTTTTCTGATCTTGAACAATGTTGGGAAATACGGGGTGCGACTTTGATCCATTTCCTAAGTGCACAGACTAGTCATCTGCACATGGGTGGAGAGGCAAGAGGTTCTAGTTTCAGCACAAACCAATTATCTTAAGATGTGGGTGGCTGGAGGCTTTTTGCTTTTCTTATTGACGTGGAGACTATATACACTTAAGATTTTGAAGTGCTTTCTATGTTTACTGTTAATATTATCAGTGCTTTACATTGCTTTTTCCCCCGTTTTCCCCATTTCTCTCCTCCTCCAGTTCAGTAATGATAGGTTCCGTATGTTACAAGTCATATGACTCCATGACACATGCATATGTATATATATGAGATGCCTGGTGACTCTGCTCAGACTGCACTGAACTTCCCTCTTCAGAACCACTCACCATTTCAGAGAAGTTACCTGCCACTATGATGCCTGGGGGCTTATCCGAGGCCAAGCCTGCTACTCCAGAAGTCCAACACATTGTTAATGAGGTGAGTTGCAACCTATCTAAAGACGAACACTCTGTGTGCAAAGGGCTGAGTCTTGAAGCTTGTGCAAAGGCTGGGAGACCAGGTGGTGATACTGAACCAGTGTTTGAACTGAAGAAGCGAGTGCTGAAAATGGGAATCCCCTTGATTGCCAATAAGTATTTTCTCAGCATTCTGCGTAGGCGGTCTACCGGTAAGACCGAGACAAACCACTTCTCTGTCTCATCCTTGTCCATAGCCAGGCACAGTACTGGCTACTTTCAGTTAATGTTTGCATGTAGTTCGAAGACCAGCTCTACTATGCCATCACTGAGGTTGCTTGTGTGAAATTAAAGGTGGTGTATTTGAAGGGAGAAGATTGTACCTGGTGGAATTAATTCCTCACTGAAGGACATGGATAGGACAAACCATGTGGTAGCGTGCACTAAGAAAAGATATATACAGGACAAGGCTGTGTATAAACGGCATGTTCTCTGCTCGCATCTACTGTTTTCTAGTGTCATAGCTGTGATGCAGGGGCTGCTGGTGAGGCAGTGGGGCAAGGTGAGCTTGGCACAAGGCAGGCAGGGTAAGCCCAGTTGCCATGGTGATTGGTTACAGGCAGTGGTCCTGCCCTGGAAGCAGCTGTGTGAACAACATGTCTGCAGATCCTCATATTCTTGTGGAGACAAACCTTATGTTGGGGCAATCCTGCTCTGCTTCCAGCCACATAACAGTGGCCTTTCATGATGCAATTGTGTGGGATCTTATGCTCCGCGAAGAGGCTGAGGAATTAATATAATTTGAGCGAAGCTGTAAAGAGCATCTTGCAGACCTTGTTGGGATGGCCAAAGTCTATCTGCTCTTGGGATTACATAGTTATTTACTTACACCTGTGCCTTGTCTGTAGTCATCCTTAGTGAGCTGAGGAATGTTATTTATTCAGTCTCCTTGTTTTACAGCTGTTGCCTAAAGCTAAGGAATGTTTTGGGTTTAAGGAACTGTTAGATAAGAGCTTAGGAAATGTTATACTTTTCCATCTGAGGATTAAGGAGCTGTCTGCCTGCCTGATTTTACTGAAGGCTCTGTCCGTAAATAACAAATGGGGGACGTAGTGGTCAGAGGTTGGAGAGAACTGGCTTTGTTTTGTTTTGTTCTGAGGGAGGAATAATATGTACCAAAAGTTGCCACTTAGGAGCATCCTAGGAGCCCTCAAACTCATCCAGCTGGAAGAGGGTTGGAAATTGAAGTTTCCCTGGTTTACTAGAGTTAGCAGCTCCCAAGTTGAAAGTATAGCTGTCGGTTCCCGGGGATAGAAGCCTTGTGGAAGCTGCTCAGAAAAGCAGAGTAAGGAATTATGAGGAGCCTGAATATGATGAATTGAAGGCATTAGATAATTTCTGGCTGTCTGAAAATGGTGCTTCCAGGACCTGCCTGCTGGGAAGGAATGCCATGGGAGTGGTTGCCAGCTGTAGGTGGATGTGTTGAGAAAGCCAATTAATTCTGTGCATTTCTGCAAAAACAGGTGGGTGGTGAGAAGCACTGACATGCTGCCGGCCCCTCCCCTGCCTGAGCAGGCTGCCGAGTGACGCTGTGCTCCTCTGCCCAACTTCTGGAATGCCTCTGCCCTGCATTGGGCCATCGGCATGGGTGTCCTGTGCAGAGGAGAGGCTGTTACCCAGCCTGCAAAAGATCGTTTATGCTTTCCAGATGACAGAAAAAAGTTTTCAGGTTACATTCACTGCAGTTGCCTTTCTGTAGGGAATTTGTGTCATCAGGTGCAAATGAGTATAGTAAAACACTGTTACACCGGTATGTAAATCATGATGCCTCTGACACCTGGCCAGACTTCCACTGCTGCTCACAGCTGTCTCCCCGGCTACTCCCCTGCCCTTTCGGCCTAGTAATGATACAAATATTTAATCTCTGAGGGGACAATACTACTGTAATTGCTGCTGAACTTTAAAACTTGCCCTGCACTTTGTGTGTTTCAGGAAAAAATGTTACACCTTTTTTTTTTTTTTAATTTTAAATATGCATGTGAAAAGTCTGTAGATGTCTGAACTGTGCATATTTTAAGATCCTCGGGGCTTAAACTGGGTACTGTGCATAAACACATCTACTTGAGCTGTGAGTGTGAATGCTGTCAGCACAGAGCGTTGTTTCTGCTGGAACTACATTACCTGCAGCTACTACATAGTAAAGGACCGATGATGTTTGTGCAGGTCTGGGGTTGATTTCTGGCTCACAATTTAAAGGTCATACTTCCAGTTTTGGAGATGGAAGTGCATAGTTTAGTCCTGGACCATTGTAACTATTACAGTTGTTTGTATTTTACATGGTTCTAGATGTTGAAGGATGTATTTAGTTTAAATTACAGCTTTAGCTGCAGGGCTTCCACCAGCACTAGAATAACGTTCAGGAACTACTTGATCAGGTGGTTGTCTCGATACTCTGAGATAACCCTGTTTATTGCAAGTCCTTAAAGGAAAACAAACGGATCGAGTGCAGCTCTGAGGCTATGAAACACAAAAGGGGTCCGCAGCCTCCCAGACTGACTGCCATGGGCACAGGTGTTCCAGGTGAGGGGGGCTGACTTGCACTGCTCTGTAACAGTGTGGTTGACATGGGGTGTACCCTGCTAGGGAGCATGGCTTGGTACCTAGCTACTTTGACAAAGAATTAAAAGGGCAGCAGGTAGCAGTTTCCCTATACTGAGCGGGAGACAGTTTCGCTGGACAGCTTTCGGGGCGGGGGGAAATCAACTAGGAAGTCTAATTCTAACAGGATTTTAAAGAATGCTGGAGGCAATGCTAGGAAAGAGGGCTGGAGGTCTTGATGTAAATTGAATTGTTTTGGGGGTTCTGGATTTATTTCATTAAGGGTGTGTGTTTGAAAGGATGAAAACTGGTGTGGTAGATGTGAAAGAAAAGCCCGAATATGAACCTGCCAACCATTTTTCCCTTTCTTTTTTACAGGTGAAGCCACAATTTGAAATCAGGGAGAACAGGACATACGGCATCTTTAAAGCCATAGTATATAAGACTCAGGTGGTTGCTGGGATAAACTACTTTATTAAGGTTTGTATATATTATAGGAGGGAGTACTTTGTAGTTAAACAATATAGGTGACTTGCATAGTGGCTTATAGCAAGAAACAAGCAAACGTAGTAGAAACATCTGATGTGACTACTAGAGTTAGGGACTATCTCCAGATGCTTATAAAATTCCTCTGTTTGGCACTACTGTAGAACAGGAATATAAAAACTTATAAAACATGCACTGTGCTTCTTAGATGTGCATGATAACTTTCTTAGGATCATCTCACTCAAAGACTATAGATTGCCTTATCAGCTCAAATTATTTAAAGTAGTCATAACTCTGCTCTCCTGTTTCCGTTCAAGGCAAAGTAAGTTTCCTATTGCCTCTGTGTCCTCCAATTGTATTTATTATGATGAATTTGAAGTCAGCCTGAGGACCTGATTGAGAGTTAGAGTGAATTTAATTTAATTCTAAAAAATTTAATGCAAGCGTCTCATACTCTGCTGACTAGTTTTGCATGCAAGCATGTGTGTTGATGTTTTGGTTCTGTGTCATGTGCTCCTGAGGTACAGCCTGCCTGCTAGTTCTTTCTGTATTTTCAAAACCCCCTTTCTGTTGCGGAGAAAAAATGGGTAATGCTTAATTTGGAGCCCTCTGATAGTACCATTCATCCTCTACTAGAAAACCTAACCCATGGATTTGAGCAGCTTTCTGTGAAGTAACGCATAAGAAATTGCTGAGCATATTTTGCAAGTGAAGGGCAGAAAGCATTGCTTAGTGGCAGGCTGGCTTTCTGGAAGTAGAGCAAACATTGCATGTCACTGGTGTATCTTAACCCTGTATGTGTGCAGACATATGCCTAGTAGGATATGCTCCCTTGACAAGGGTCAGAATCTTTTTATTAAAGAAATTGGCAGGTAGGGTTTGGGGGATAGTAATTCTGCAGAGAGACATTATGAGCATTTGCTCCACACTTCTTATATTTAGTTCCTTATCCCAGGAAGTCCAGACACTGCCAAACCTTCTTTCCCAGGTCCTTCCTTAAAATAACTCTTAACAGTTATTTCTGTTCTGCGGGCGCCAGGGGACTGTACTGACAGACTACCTATTATATGGCTAGTCTGAATCTTACTTACATGAATAATGTTTATCCTCCCCTTGCTCCTATGAGATGTGCTTTCACTTTGTGGACAAGTGTTGTGGTTTAATCCCAGCTGGCAGCTA